CCCCAGTGCCCCCCTGATACTCCTCTAAACCATCACCCCCAGTGCCCCTGGTTCCTGCGGTCCACCCCATTCTTCCTGCTCCCTAAAATCTTCCCCCAGGAGATCTGGGGATCTCTTGGCTCATGTGGTTGGGATTGGTGTGTGGAATCCAATGGTGGCACAGGCAGGTTTTGGGGGTACTACCCTTTGCTCCCCCCAGGAGCAGGTGACTTTGGATGATGTGGCAGTGCTGTGCCCCATCCTCTTAATGGTTAATCCCAAATATTCAACGATCCCAACTTCTCTTCCCTGTCCATTTGTCACGCTGAGAACTACTCTGGGTAAAACAGGCTGCCTCGTTGCCCTACAGAAATTGCAGGGTAGCTGTCTTTTTAAAAAAAAAAAAAAAATTAAATTAAATGGGTAGTTCAGAAATCATAGGGGGTTGCAGGACGTTTTCTCAATAAAACAACAGGAATAGTCCAGATTTTATTTTAGACTCCTCTTCCCCCCCTCACCCCATTTTCATTTCAACCACTAATTACAAAGTGCAGGCTGGAGGCTCGGCAGTGGTGGAGCGAGGGAGGAGGAGACGTGTGTGCTGGGTGCGGAGAGAACAATTTCACCAACTGCTTATTTCAGGCACAGAGATCAAACGAGGTCCGAGGTGACGGGTCCCCACTGCCATGGCAAGAGCTGTCACACGGCGTTGTTCGTGTGTGCAGGGGAGAGCCAAGGGCCAGCAGTTATTAGGGAAACATAATCTTTTATTGTGGTTTTCTGGATCAAACCTCTGCCAGCCACACCGTGGGCAGAGTAGCGTTCGGTGGCTGAGCAGGGAGGAGTCGTGACTGCAGAGGGTGAACTTGGAAAGTGAGAGAATAAACTGTGGGACCCGTGGTGGGAGTCGTGTGTGAATCAGCACAAAACCTCCTGCTCCACGATCACAGAATGACAGAATGGCTTGGGTTGGAAGGACCTCAGAGCTCATCTCATTCCACCCCCCTGCCATGGGCAGGGACACCTTCCACTAAGTTGCTCCAAGCCCTGTCCAACCTGGCCATGGCCTTGCCCAGGGTTGTAGGTGGATTCCCACGATCAAGGTTGTGTTTTTTCTAGGAGTTCAGAGGCACTGAGCCCCTTTTTTGTGAGTTCAGCACCAGCCACATACAGAAGCAGAGCTGAGCAGTGTCCTGGTGGGATGGAATCTGTGCCACTGGGCTGACTAACATCCATGGGGAGTGGGTGATCCATCTCTCCTTGTTAGGCATTTGCTGGTAGCAGCCAAGCCCTGGAAGATGGTCAGAAGATAACCATCTCTGTGGGAGTGCGTGGCAGGGTGTTTGTTTCCTGCACTGCTCTCTTCATTGCTTCCACTCCTGGCACGATGAGCATCAGTGGTGTGGAATGTTCCAGCAGGTTTTCCCTGCAGCATGTAGGGAATGACAAGAAATGGGTCAGACACGGATTTTGGCATCACTGTGACCCACGTGCCCCTCTGGGAGCACTTTTGTCCCATGTTACTGCACTGTGGCAGAGATGAAGGGCAGCCTGTGGGCTCCAGGGTCGGCTTTTCTCTGGTGTCTCGGTCCTCATTTCTGCTAGATGTGAAGTGTGGGTGATATCCTGGGAAAACATGGGTGCATCATGCTTGGGGACCAAGGAGCCAGGCTTTGAGAGCTGGTCTCTGGGCTCGGTGGATTAGGGTAGTGTGATGTTGAGTAGAAAACTTCTCATAGTGATGTCTTTCTGGAAATCCCTGTTGCAAGAGGCCCGAGACAGTGAAAGCTGGGAACTAGTTGTGAAAGTGTTTGTTTTCAGCATCATCCTGTGTTTGCCTCTGTGCCCCCGTGTAACCTCATGTCAGGACTTCCTCCCTGTACACGAGGAAGATGAATTGCATTTGGTGTTTTTGGGGTTGCCCCGTCTTTCCCGTCTCTGCTCATTGTTCCCCGCTCTCCCCTCAGTGGCTCCTAAAATTCCGATAGGAAAGGCTGCTTCACTTGAACACATTCCCTTTTCCCTTGCATCCCAAATGCAGGAGCATTTAGAAGCTGAAAGTAAAGCTGATTATAACCAGACCTCACCGAGCTTTGTTATCCCTCGAGAGGAGGGCAGAAAGACGCCCGACTGGATTTGTAATCACTTAGGATGTGACTAACAGCACGAGCCAGCCAGAAACCTCCCCGTGCAGCAACTCTGTTGGAAAACATCAATTTGTCAAAGCTAAAAGCTTCCATGGGAATCATACACACTGTTTTGTTCAGGAGTGGGTCCAAGATGAAATTTCTGGTCAAAACAAGAAACCCAAAGACGTCCCCCCCTACCCCAAAGTAGTCGGATGGTCAGTCCAGCTGCTGGCACAGATGTTTGGGGCAAGGAAACTGGTTTTAGCAGCAACCACTGTGACTTCTTGATGCCCATCAAACCCATCAGGCTCTCCAGCTGGGAGACAGGCTCACCACATGTGCAGAGTGACTCCAGTTCCTTGGGGATGCGTGAGCTTCTCACACACTCAGACTCCCATTCATCCAACACCTGGGTGCAGCACTCTATGCTTCCCAAACCTCCTGCTCCTCCCCAGCTGGGTTTGGGCAGCATCCAGAGGTTGGAAGTCCTGCTTTGGCCCCTGCTGATCTGAGTCTCAGGAGCTCCTTGTCCAGGAGTCCGGGCTCAGGTTTATTGGGAAAACTTGGAGCTTTCCTCCCTGCTGGGGTAGATGATTTCCAGGAGGGAAAAGGTGCCGAGTTTGCAGTGGGCACCAAGGGATCTGTCACCAGACCCTGCATCAAAGAGCTCCCCACTTATTCCGGTGCCACAGTCACCTCCAGAGAGCTCCTAAACAGGAAACTGCTCCAAACCAGAGCCCCTCCTGCTGCCATTCCTGCGAGTGAGGCCCCTCCGAGAGGGTTGTGCTGTCTCTGCTCTGGCTGTTGTCCTCTGTTGTGTTTTCTCTCCGTAGTAACATGCCAGTAGCTCCCTGGGGAACAAGGCCAGCCCGTGGCTGCAGCCTGGGATGCACAAGCTCCTCGGGATGTCTTGTCCTCTTGTCCTCTCAGCTCACCCCACACACAGCTTCTGCTTTCCTTTTTTTTTTTTTCCCCCCACTTTTTGGCTCAGCAGCAGATGAGCTGAGCTGCCTCCTGCCTCTGGCTTTCCTGTGTCTGAGAGTGGGAAATGGGGGCTGGTGTCTGTTCCCTCCCCTTGCTCTCGGGGAATGGTTTCGCAGCACTGTCCTAAGGAGGCTGGAGTGCAGGGGCTGCTCCAAAGGTTGGAGCACAGAAGGCCAGGCCCCTGCCCTGCTCCAGTCCTGGGCACACAAAGGTGTATCGTGGGCTGGGGCCAGCACAGAGGGACAGGGAGAAGGGAAAAGGGCTGACGGATACTTTGTGTATGCCAGGAGAGGGGGTCGGCGAAGGATGGCTGGAACAGGGTGCTTGTATCTTCCCAGATGCCTGATGTGTCCCTTGCTCAGCTCAGGTTGGGGCTGGGCTCTCTGCTTCTTCCCCTCAGGCTCGTGAGCCACCCAGCCTGGGGACTCATGTCTGGTGTCACAGCTGAGCCTGTGTCACAGGGGCCTCTGCTGCCCCTGCTTGGATGGGAGCTCTGTGACACTGGTCCTGGTGGAAACCCTCCATGGAGAGCAAGTTTAGACCTGGTCTCTCACCCAGCTCCTGGAAAAGCTTCCCCTTCCCTGTGCACCCTGTGATTTGAGTTAGGGACTGGGGAGAGCAGGACACCAGCTGTGCTGCCATTGCTGCAGCCTCCTCCCGCTCCTGCTCTGGCTGTGCTGATTTGCATTGACTCAACTTCCTCCCTACGGCCTCGCAGGGGAGCGTCAGCGAGTCAAACACCAGGGTCAGGCTCGCAGGTACCTCTGGGGCTGGCTGAGACCTGATCCTGCTTTGCCAAGCTCTGTCTGTGCAGGCTGATAAAACCCCCATCCCAAAGTCCAAGGGGATGAGGCAGGTGGGAGGCCGGCACACGGCGTCTCTTATGCCACGTTTTTGGGGGGGTTCTGCTTGTGTGCCCTTTCTTTGAGGGCGAATGCAGCAAAGGGTTAGCACTGCTTCCAGCTACCCCAGCTTTCCTGGGAGCAGCCCCCCATGTCCAGGACTGGCCTCTTCCAAGCCACTGCTGTCACCTGCAGGGCCCACACCAAACCCTGTGGCACGAGTGTCCCTGTTTTCATGCACTGTGTGGCTCAGGGTCCCGTCACTGAGGTGAGCACATACAGATGTGGTTACGTACTTGGCTGAACTGGGATGTTTTTCTGAACTGGGACTGGTTTCCTGGAGCACTGACAGCGCTGGCTTTCTCTGCAGAGCTGTTTGTAAAATCATTTGGACTCTGTGTGTGTTCGTCTGTGTGCTGGTGGCACCCTGCAGCTCCTGTCCTGGCTGGGGATTTGTGGTGCTGCTGTGCTACAGGGAATATCAAGGAAAAGCCTGCCCAGGCCAGATCTGAGATCCTCTAGACACTGAATCACCTTCTGCTTTAAAATGCATTTTTGTGTGTGATACTTCTAAAGAGATCATGTAGAAAAAAAAGTATATTTTAGGAAAAATAAAGACCTTTTGCTCTGTCACCAGTTTAGTTTTAAATTTCTCAAAGTTTCAGGCAGAGGCTATGGAAAGTTTTGGCCTGGGGGGAGAGTGGGGTGGAAGGGCTGGAGCGTGTGAAAGCTGCTGTTATAAGATCATTTTACAGCCTTTGGCACTGCCAGCTCTGCCCTTGCCACCCCTGGGAGAGCTGCCACCAAATATGCTGTGAGGGTGAGGGCACCTGGCTTTGCTCATGCCCTGACCTGGGTAGGTTCCTCTCGAGTGAGACAGGTCTGTGCTGCTGGGGAAGAGCTTCACCTGCTCCCATGGCTTTTTTTTGGGTGTCTGGATCTACATGGAGAAACGTTGCTCTTCTCCCTTTTTTCTGTCTGTGGAGACTAAAAGAGCTTGGCTTTTTGGTGAACTAGAGGCTGAGAGGGGCAGGACTGATGCCTATAAATACTTGGGGGAACGGCAGGGAGGGAAATTATTTATGTCCACCCAAGAACAATGTTGGCATGAGAACGAGCGGGTACAAACCAGCAGGAATAAACTCGGGCTGGAAATGCGAAGGTTTCCATCCGACGTCGGAGAATCGAGTGTCTGCATAAAAGGAGCAGGAACAAAAACTTGAGCTGCTTCTCTTGAAACACAAAATTCCAATGGTCTTATTTCTAGTGCATCTTGAATGCAGGGATGAGGCGAACTGGGCTGGAGTTGTCAGCTGAAATGCAATGACATAGGGTGTACTGAGCTCAGCTAAAGCAAACAGTGAATGGAAGTGGACATTGCAGCCCTTCAGCCTCCAAAAACCATTGAAGGGAAAGGTTCCACTATTTTAAGTGAGCTTGTCTCTTTTATTTGGGAATTGTATTTCTGAAACTCACTTTTAAATCCAGAAACCGTCTAGAAATGAAGTGCTTGGTTTTGCATCAAAGGCAGAAGCTCAGGTTCTGCAGATGAAGCCAGAGAGGTGTTATGAGCTCTCCTCTGATTCCCATGTGTGCTGAAACTTCTTCTTTCCTGTAATTGAGCTGCTGTGAGAAAGGTCAGGGTGTTGAAACAGGAAACCTGTGTGTGTACATGTGAATTTGTGTGCACAAACCCCCTTGCACACCTGTGTGTACTTTCCTGTGTGTTTGTGGGATTTACCTCTCCAGCATCTTCCCCAAAACATGTCTAGGCAATGCTGCAACACCAGACCAAGGAGTCTTGTCCTGTTTTATGTGCCACAACAAAAAACTCTGTGCTGGAGGAGAAAGGAATTGTTTTCCCCCCTCCTGTTTTTTGCGCTCTCCCTCACACCAACACATCCCACCCCTCCCCACAGCTGCTTTCCTACCCTAAACGTGTTGTGTTGGCATCAGCAATTCAGGGCTGGGTAGAAAACTTGCCTCTGTTCCAGGGTCTTGGAAAGGCTGAGCAGACCTGGCTCTTCTCACACCTTTGGGGGACCAAGGAGGGCACATCCAGGTGTCACTGAAAGCAAAGTCTCCCACCCAGCACAGCCATTCCCATGGGCACGAGGGCTGTTGTAGCAATCCCAAAGCTGCTCATACCCTGCTGTGGGCTCCCAGGAGACCTCCCACTCCTCACCCCTCTCTCACACCCCCCAGGTTGCCATGACAAGGCAGTGCTACTCTACGAGTACGTGGGGAAGCGGATCGTGGACTTGCAGCACACGGAAGTGCCGGATGCCTATCGAGGGAGAGGAATAGCCAAGCACCTGGCCAAGGTACAGCCCCAAACACCCAGAAGGGCAAGAGCTGTTGCCATCCCAGGTGTGGGTAGAGATCCTGGCTGAAGCCAGGCCCCATCACGTTGGAATTGCATGGGAGCTCTGCTCCAATGGGAGGTGGGGTGGCTGGTGGGGCAGATGGAAATCTGGGGTCAGACATTCCTGCTTTGGTGCTGAGAGGGGCTGGGTGAGTGCTTGGCCCATTCCTTCTTGTGCCCACTGTGCAGGGGCTGATGGATCACCTCACTTGGGGGCTGGACCCCTCCTCTCAAACCTTCACTGCCCACTCCCTGGTCCTGCAGCCCTGCAGGGAGAGCTGAGGAGCCATGAGGGAATGTGGGGTGATGCTTTGGGGTTACAGCTGCTCCCTGGCCCTGTAGGTCAGGGCAAATGGGTGGCATGATGGGCTAGGTCACCTGCTGTGCAGCATCCACCAGGCTGGATGTGTCGAGGGTTAAACTGAGAACCCTGTGCTGTGCTCTCCCCACAACCCTCTCCCTCCACCTGCCTCGCACAGGGGGTACCTGAGGGCAACCTGCTGCTTTTCCCCTCTATCTGAGGGATACAGGAGTCCAGACCCCCATGAGGCTTCAGAGGAGAGCGTAGGCTGGGGGTGGCGGTTGTAACCTGTGTGTTTTCTCTGGTTGGTCACAGGCAGCCCTGGACTTCGTGGTGGAGGAGGACCTGAAAGCTCACCTGACGTGCTGGTACATTCAGAAATACGTCAAGGAGAACCCGCTGCCGCAGTACCTGGAACACTTGCAGCCTTAAGGCAGGACTGCTCTGACACCAGCACACCTGTCCCTGACTGTCCAACGCGGCCTTCGCTTCTCTGCGGTCTCAGGAAACCCCCTCCCACACTCGCAATTCCCGTTTTTTTAAGCGTGTCCATGTGGTGCGTGAGTGTGGGCACGACCTCCTCCTCCCTGCCCACATGTGAGCATGGCTACAGCCCCTGGGCCAGGCTGGCTCTGGGCACACATGGCATCCCCCAGTGCTTTTCCCAAGCCAGGGGGTGGAAGAGGATGATTTTTCCACCAAACTCCATCACAAGACCAGGGGATGACTCGTGCTGCACCTCATCCTCCCCGCTCCGCTTGGCGACAACTGTGAACTTGCTGGGGGATGTTGGTTAGGGGTGGTCGTGGGGCACCAGCCCCCCTTTCCTTCTGGGAGCTGGGGGAGATGCTGTAGATTAAGCTTTGTGGAACAGAGGGAGGTGCTGGAGGAGCCCCAGCCCTGAGGCAGGTTCATCCCCTCCAGCCCCTGTTGAGCTGTGTCCAAGCCCATGTGGAGTATGGATGAGAACATGTGGACCATGGTGGCACCTCGGGGGCTTTGCTGCACCAGCTGTGGAGACACTAGGACGGTGACACCTCCGAGGCAAGGGACAGGAGCCTTGTGAGGAGCACACTTCAGCTGCAGGGGCTGTGGCAGAGTCTGTGCAGAGGAAGAAAGGTGGCTGAGCTGCAGATGCTGCTCCCCAGAGATTCCAGCTCCTGCCCAGCCTTCTGTTCACAACCCCGGCATGGCATCCCACAGGATCACGGGCCATCATTCCTGTCTCTTCCCCCTGCCATCGGTGCTGCCCATGCTGGTGTGGACACAGCCTGCTCAGGAGAAGAGACCAGCCCCCACAGCCAGCCCTGGCCTGAGCAATGAGGGGACATCCCAGGGCACCAGGGTGGTTTCCTGCAGCTGAAGAGGAAGGCTCCCCCCATCTCCCTCAACTCCAGCTCTGCATCCCCATCTAAGCCCCAGATCAGAGCCATCATCCCATCCTGAGAGCAACAGGGGTAAGGCCTCCAGGACCTGCTCCTGGCCCATCTCCTGGAGCCACCTGCCTCCACGTGGATGCTGATGGCTTCTCCTTACAGCCTTTGGAAAGAAGCCCTGGCTCAGGGCATTACCTCTCTGCTCAGCTCCAGGCTCAGGTGCTGGCAGCACTGCAGGGTCCTCAGCTAGCAGCAGGAACACCCTCGTTTCGTGCTGTTCCCTCCGTGGACAAGGACCCTGTAGCACAGCCCAGTGTTGCCACGGTTGGATGTACAGGTAACACCATGATGGCAGGGCGCTGCCTGGTTCCATCTTGCTGCCTGTCCTGCCTTGCCTGGGTTTTACAGGGCATGAGCTATACCCCAGAGCATCTCCCACCGAGCTCTCGGGATTTTGCAGTGTCCCAGGGCAGGGATGTGGTACAGGAGATGATGCTTCTGACACCCCCAGCCCTGAGCAGCCACTGGGGGCTGCAGCCAGGCAGAAGGAAATTGAAAGCCTTTCACCTGGAGGCCAAATCCAGACCTAGCTTAGCTCAGCAGGGACTAAAGTTTACAATCTGTGCCACGGAGTGACTGAAGCCCCAAACCGAGGCAGCTCAGCCCTCTCTCAGAGCCCAGCACAAAGTCCTTGGTGGCAAAGACAAAACTCCTCCAGCCTTCTCTACTGGTTGGGATGGTCAGAGATGGAGACCTTGTGGCTGATCTCAGCCAGGGAGGCCCTGAGCTGTTCCTCCTGGTCACCAGCTCGAGGCAAAGCCCTGCTGCCTGCCCGTGCTCTTGGGCTGCCCATCACCAGCATAACATGGCCCTCTCCAGCTTGAGTAAAACCTCCCAGACTCCATCCCTGCCCTGCACAGGGCTGTGAGACCCCTGCCCATGCCCACCTCCTGCCTGGGGAAGGACCTGTGCCCGGCAGCAGACCCACCTCTGCCTTGTGCTGCTCAGGAAAGGCCTCGGGCTCAGCCCTGCTGCCGCCTCGTGTTTCTGCCCTCTTGCTGCTTATTCCACCTGAGCTGTGACCTTCAGGATGGCTTCAAGGGATTGGGAAAGGGTTGCAGGTAGCAAACTAAAGGGGTTCAAGAAGAAATCTGGGCTGCTAAGTGTTCCTTCTTTAACATGCAAAACACTTCAGCAGGAGCAAGGCTGGTTCTGGTACAGCCGTGACGACAGAACCGTCCCTGCTCTTGATCCCAAGGTGAAGCTGAACCGTCTCCTCCACTGCAAGCCAAGATAAGGCACTGTTGTGTCTGTCACAGCAGGGCTGGGTGCTTGGGAGAGATGTGTGTCTGGCTGCCTCACGTGAGCCTCTGCGAGCCTCTGCCCTGGTTTTGTGCTCATTTCCACTGTGTGGCAGTTCCCAGAAGTTCCCTGTTGTGTCAGCTCACTGCAGGCTGTGCTGTGGTCACTACAGCAGCAGTGGCCTGGTGTCCAAGCCTGGCTCGGGAGCCCTTTGTGCTGCTCTGGCAGGAACCTCATGCTTCCCAGCGCTGGATCACAAGTGGCAATCGCTGCCTTAAATCAGGCACAGCACATGGTTTTGCTGCTGCTTCCCTTCGAGGTGCTACAACCCCTCCAGTGTCTGACCCGACGGAGCTGTGTGCCAGTGTCCGTGCCAACCGTTTCTCTGCTGTATCCACCCTCTGCCTTCCCTTCCCTATGGTCCTTGATGCTGGTGAATAGCAATACCCACAGGTCACCAGCGATGCTGCAGTCCATGGCGCTCCTGGGATCCTGCACTGATGGACAGGAGATGGCTCGGGATCCCTCAGTGCTGGGCAGCCCTTCCCTGCCTCCCCACCAGCTGCCCTTTCCCAGCTGGTCTCTGCAGAAAGGAGCTTTGAGTCCTCTGCTGCCCCTTGGTGCTCACTAAGCCTGGAGGAGTCAGGGAATTTTGAACTCTCCCTGGCGACAGGAGTGTGGAAAGTGGTTTGGTTGAATCTTGAGGTCCCCAAACCCATTTGAACTACAGACCTTGGTGGGTGGGGGAATGCAGGTTGCTGTCAAACCTGCTTCCACAGCACCCAACTTGAAACCCCCCTCCCTCATCCGCTCTCCAGCGTTGTCTTCCTCTGTCCCAGGTTTCCGTTCTGTTGGATTTGGTGGTTACGATGTGCCTTTCCTTCTCAGGACCTGTTACAAATGACCTTTCTGCTCTTGTTTATGTTTAACATTTTATCTTTATCCCTCCCTCTGTCATACTATAAGACATGAACATAATGCATGGAATACAATACAATAAAAGTGTGGTTTAACTGACCCGCAGTGGCTGTGCCATACTGTGGGGAGGTGGGAGGAGGTGCCCATGGAACCAGGGCACCCCCAGCTCTGTCACCTCTGGGCTGGGTCCTGTCAGCTGAGAGTCTGTTTCCTTTGCCAGCTGACGCTCATCAGCCCTCCTTGGAATTTCAGGCCACTCTTTGGGAGTTATCCTGCAAGTGCAGTCTCTGGTGAACAGCCACTCGGTGCTCGTGTCTGTTTTTTTTAAGATGTTTGAAAACATTAAGGCGAGAAAATATTTAAATATCCAGCTGCTGTGCTTGTCCAGAGCAAGGCGGGCAGGCAGGTGACTCAGAGGGACACAAGGCACTTCCCTCCTGGAGCCAGCGCTCCTCAGCCCTGGGAGCACAGCCCGAGCACTCAACACCCAGGGTCCAGCACAGTATTTGTGCCACTTTCTAACACTGAGTTGGGTAACTCACCGTGCCAGGGAGGGTGGTGTGGAGAAGGGGCCCAGCTTATTTACAGTTATAATTTGATCTGAAGTGACAAGTGGCCCCGGGGCTGCAGCTCGAGCAGGCAGAGCAGGGTTTGCTGCTCCCCAGGGACAGCGCGGTAGGTTTGGGGCTGTAGCCGGGCTGTTGCTGGTAACATACTCTGTTTACATTCCACATTCCAGACAGTCCATGCTCCGGCCTGTCCCAGCAGTGCTGCACGTTCTGCCGGGCTGGGCATGCTTCCCAAACACCTCTTGTTCCTGCAAATGCGCCCTTAACCTCCAGCAAAACAGCTGCCCCCCCAGTTACAGCTGAACTGCAGCGGTGTGGGAGGGCCCTGCAGGCTGGAAGAGCAGCCTCGGGATCGCTGGGAAGGTGGAGGCAGCCAGGAGTTTGTTCTCTTGTCACATTGCATCACTTGGGAATAATGCTGTCAAAAAGAGGGGTTTTCCTAGTTCTGGGAGATGCAGAGCCAGCACCGCTCTCTCCTGAGGGGTGATGGGAACTGAGGGCACATCTATCCCCAAGAGCAAGGAGGTTGCAGAGCAGGGAGCTGCTGTTTGTTAACGGAAAACTTAAAATTCCTGAGAAAAAGGCTCCTCTCCTGGGAGGAATCAGGTTAGGAGCAAGAGGGGGCCCTGCAGAGGCACAAGGATCCCTTGTGAGATCACTATCCAATCACCCTGGCACAGGTCCCCTTGGATGACCCTGCTGTGCTGGGGAGCGGACCTGGGGCCAGAGGCTGAGGACAAGATGGTCCTGGGACACCCCCACAAAACCTTCAACATCCACTTCTGGTGGATCCACAGGAGCTGGGAGACCTCTGGCAGTACCTGGATTTCGTTTCTAGAGAAGCATTTGGTGATAAACTTTATATTGATTCGATGATGTCAGAGGTCTTTTCCAACCTAAGTGATCCGGTGATTTATTCCTCCTCAGAGATGCAGCAGGGGAGCCTCCCCATTCCCTGCTCCTCTTTCGGGAACGATTAAAGGGGCCAAATTCACCCCAAAACGCCCATCCTCTCCTCTCTGCGAGGCGCTGCTCGAGGGGATCCTGCATCCATTCTCCCCTGCAGGGAGGGAACCACCTGGTCCTTTCGGAGCAGCAACATGAGGCAACGCTGAGGTCGCCGAGCTCTGCCGACCCTCAGCCGCCGCTCCAGGCGCGGCCCGGCCGCACCCCCTCATGGCGGGGCCGCGGGGCAGGCCGGGACTCGCCGCCGCGCCCCTCCCACGGCCGGCCCGCTCCGGCGGCAGATCCCGGGCGGCGGGGCCGAGCCGAGCTCCCCACGGGGTGCCCCGCCACCGGTGCCCGGGGCTGTGCCCGGGGGTCCCCCAGGGGTCCCGCCGCGGTGCCCGCCCGACCCCGCCGCCCCCGTTCCCGCCGGGGGACTACACACCCCAGAGGGTCGCGCGGCCGCGCGGTAGCGCGGAGCACCATGGGACTTGTAGTCCCACCTCTGGTCTGATCCCGCCCCGCGCATCGGCCGCCGCCGCCCTCGCGCACTACATCTCCCGTCGGGCACCGCGGCACGGCCGCGGGCCGCCGGCGGAGACATTTGCGAGCCGAGTGTCTCCAAGATGGCGGCGTGGGGAAGGAGGCGCGGTGGCCCCGGCGGCACCAACAGCGGCGGCGGCCGGGAGAGGTGAGGGGGCGGCGGGGGAACGGGGCGAGGGGCGGCGGGGGGATCGGGGCCACGCCGCCCGCGGCTCCCCGCGGCCCCGCGGCGAGGGCGGGGGCGCCGCGAGGGGAGCGCGGCCGGGCGGGGCGGGCGCGGGACGCGGCCCCGCGGGGCCGTGGAGGGGCCGGAGGCACTCGGCGGGGCCGGGGCTGGAGGGGCGGCCGCGGGCGGGGAAGGTCAGCGCCGCCCGAGGGGCGAAGGCGGCGGCGTTGCCCGTGGCGGGATGCGGCCCCGGGGGCCGGGAGGAGGAGGAGGGCCGGCCCCGGGAGGCTCCTTCCGTCCACGGCTATTTTTAAAGGCGGGGAGGGAGCGGCGAGTCCTCCAGGGTGACCTCCTTCTGCCGGGGCCCGGCGGGCGCGGGGCTCGGTACCGCGCCCGCTGCTGCTGCCGCTGGGGCAGGAGAGCCGCCAGAGCAGGCTGGGACTGCCCGCGGAGCAGCGGTGGAAGTTTGGGAATCGGTAACTTTAAAATGGGAAGAAAGAGACAGAAAGAAATGTCAGAGAATCACTTAGGGTGGAAAAGACGTCTGAGATCGTCGAGTTCAGCCTGTGACCGAACACCACCTTCTCAGCCAGATCAGAGTACCGAGTGCCTCACCCAGTCTTTCCTTAAACAGCTCCAGGGACGGTGACTCCACCATTCCCTGGGCAGCCTCTTCCAATCGGCCTTTCTGGGAAGAAATTCTTCCTGATGTCCGACCTATAAGCCTCCCCTGGCACATCTCGAGACAATGTCTCGTTGAGCTACTTTAAAAATCTGTGTGCACAGTTCTCCACCTGCTGAAAATGTTTGGGTTTATCCTGCATTTCCTGACGTTGGCATTTTTCTGTCCTGCCCCAGGGCTGACTGATGCAACCGGCAGCTGCTGAAAGCTGCTGCAGTGTTTTGTGAGTTTTCTTTTGTCCTGCTGCCTCACCTCGAAACTCTGATATCCCTCTTAACTAGAAACTATGATATCCCTCTTAATTTTTGTTGTGGCTTTTCCTTCACTTTGTTCCCTTACTGCAGTTCAGCACTGTTTGCTTTGATGGTGTTGAATCTACACAGCCAAGGGAGAGCCACAAGTAGCCCTCAAAATTCTGGCGCTGATGTGAATTGCAGGAATGCTGTCTGTGTTCAGGGAATTCAAAAGTAATTGTACTGGAAGAGCCAATGGAATTTCTGCATCAGTGTGGTTCATATAAACAGCTAAGAATACCACAGTGGTAAAGCTGTCTGCACCCAGTGCTGGCACTGCCCCAGCACGGGAGGTGTGGAGTTTTCATGGGGATTTTTTCATGTGGCACAGACCTGTCCTCTCAGCAGAAGAGAAGGGGGGGAACAAATAAGGTATGGAAAAGAGCACTTAATAACTTCAATAAAAATTATTCTTCCAGGGTGAAAACTGACGCAGACTTAAAAGTGAGTTCTTGCCGTGTAACTTCATCTGTGAACTGTACAGTAATTGTTGTTTGAGGTGATTTGTTTTCAAAGCTGTGATTGCTCTTGATCTTATGATGAAAAATATTCATAAACACGAGTCACTCCATGAACCTGCTGCATATATTATTTTTCCTTTGCCAGTGAGAAGGAGATGGAACAGAACAGATCCACCACTGAGCAGCGTTTCACAATCTCCATCAAGAGATGGTGGTTTTTTAGGTGTCACCCTGTACAAACGTGATGGAGGATGATGTTTTGGGTGACGACAGCGAGGTGCTGCTTCTTCCTGGCAGCTGCAGAGCAGGAGACACACATGACAGGGCCTCTGCCTCTCCATCAGAGGCTGATCCCAAATCACACCTGCCTGTCTCGTTTGGCTGCTGCAGCACAGGTTGTGTACAGGCAGCGCTGACAGACCTGATGTCATCACATGATGACACGTGCTTTTTATAGGGTGAATACAGTTTTCTTACTCTGGGCAGGATTCTTGTCCAAAGACACATTCCTTTGAACTGAATATGCTGATCCAGTTTTCCTCGTAACTGAGCTGCTTCAAGGAGTGTTTGTAGTTGTCAGCCAGACGGTCTAAAAGGCATCTGTGTGCCGGAGGTGGTGTGAGGAGACTCAGTACTGAATAAAATCCTGTCTGCTGTGAGACTAGAGCAGCTTTCATTTAAAAATATATATATAAAAAAAAGACCAGCAACTCTATCTGTGGAGACTGAATCCCTTCATAAATGGCTTTATTGATACAGAGAAGTCTGTAATTGGTCAAAAAGCACTTTCCTCGCTAGGAGTGAATGTAAGGACATTAATTTCAAAGGATGTTGACTGTTAACTCCAGCTGGCTCTGGTGGTGAAATAATAACATTCAACAAAAAAAAACCAAAAACACTGAAGGGAACCAACTAAATATTTGTTTTTCTTCATTCTGGATAGACTCTTTAATGGAGACTGTCTAAAGGGAATTGTTGATCTGTAGACCAAAACAACTTTTTCATACAGAACAGACACTGGATTGTACTGGGTGTGTTTGTATAAAAGGCAGTGGACAGCGTGTCGTTTGTTCCCCTGGGAGATGTTCTGACAAACTCTGGAAAGAACAGCTTTCATGTCATCACCGCTGCCTGCACTGGCTCCCCTCTGCCCTTACTGAGCTCTCTCACTACCTGCACTGCTCAGATTTCTGGTACTCTGCTTGCAGCAATGATTGACCTATTTCCATCAGCTTGGCTAATCATTAGTTGACTTAAAATTGACACCTCCTCGTTGTCCAGGGGCTGGAGTTTGTTGTTATGGTTTGGTGATGTTTTCCTTAGTGTTCAGGGAACGTTCTGGTCCCTTGTTGAGGCTGCTTGACAATCTCCCCAGTGTTGTCCTGTCATTTTTCCTATTTGTGTTTAAGGTGCATCTTCTGAGCTAAGGTCTTGCTTTATTGCTAAGCTTTTCCTGTTCTTCCTCTGCTTTAATGCCCTTCTTAAGGCCCCAGGCCTGGAAGATTGTGGGGGCACTCAGCAGAGAAACAACTCCCCAGGTGTTTGAGCTGGGACATGTTAGTGCTTTCCGTGCACCATACCCTGAGTAGGAGCACACTCGTGAATGTGACTTGGAGGTGGAATATTTCCACTGAGAATTAAAGCCAGTCCACAGCTCATTCCTTAATCTCGAAATTAAATTAAATTTCTTCAAGAAGGATTTATGTTGGAGGGAGGGAAGTTTAATGTTTGAATTTGTCATGCCTCGACTCTGTTGACTTGCTCCAGCTTGGCTGAGAGGCTGACAATGCCCACAGACATACTCTGGCCATCTAGAATGTCTTTTGTTTTGCAGATCACTTGCACAACCAGCACAAAGCCCCCCTTGCACTGCTGAACTAGACTCTGTGTGCTGTTTGTGACACATCTTATCATACTGATGCAAGCCTTTCCTTTCTTACTGTCTTAACTACTGATCAAACCGGTCTTCATTTGCAGTTAATCTGATTGCCTGTTTGGTGCTCTGAGCAATACTGTTGCCCAGGAATATTCTCCTGTTTTAAAAAAAAACTTTAATAAAACTCGACTTACGTGTTAAGGGAGGGGTTTAAAGGGAACTTTCTTTTGCCCAGAACTGTACCTGCGCTTTGTGCAGCTTGAGATTGTTTCTAAGTGTGATCCTGAGCATTTTGCAGAACTGAGATAATTGGATGACTTGAAACCCTCACCAAAACTCTGTCTGGCAGATTGAGGAATGCCATTAGGCTGAGGGCAACAAACTTGGGAGGCTCAGGCAGGTGAGCAGTGGCAGGAGGAGGCTGGGGGTTCTCCCAGGATGTTTTTACGTGCCCTGTTCTCAGCACTCTGTTCCTTTGTTTCTCCCATTTCCACTTGGCACCTGGCAAAACTGATGGTCTTTTCACATGGAGTGCCATTGTGCTTCCTCCTGGGAATGTTATTTCTTTATCCGCAGGAAAAAAAACGATCAAATTGAAACTTCCGTTGAATTGAATTGAAGCAGCAAGTTGCTGTTTTCAGGAGCCTGCTTCCAAGCTGGAGGCACAGAAATGGAGCTGCTCTGAGGGGTGGAACTTAGGGAAAAATTCTTCCCTGTGAGGGTGGGGAGGCCCTGGCACAGGTTGCCCAGAGAAGCTGTGGCCGCCCCATCCCTGGAAATGTCCAAGGCCAGGTTGGATGGGGCTTGGAGCAACCTGGGCTAGTGGAAGGTGTCCCTGCCCATGGTAGGGGGTGGAACTGGATGGTCTTTTAAGTTCCCTTCCAACCCAAACTATTCCACGATTTTATGAACTGCTGGAGCTGCTATTGTTCAGCAGCTGCAGCACCCCTCTCCTGGTGCTCTCTGATATTCCCATGTTAGGAAGACAATCCAAATGTAATTTGAACCTTGCCCTATAGCTAACACAGACACTTCTGCCCCTCCTGCTGCTGTAGGTCTGTTAACAATGGATTCCTTATTTAAAACTTTGGCAATACCAAAATTTGACATTGGTGATTTTTAAGTGATTTACATCTTGCTGTGCCGAATAGTTCAGAGTTCTGTCACATTTCCCCACCCAGGCATTCATTCTGCAGCTGGAATGAGACACTCAAATTTCTCAAGTATAGAAAGCCCGAAGCTGCAATAGAACAAATATTTGGATATAAGGTCCAGAATTATTCTTACAGAACAACTGTACAACTTGTTAACTTAGCCCTCTTTTTTGGGGT